ATACATATACATACATATACATACATATACATACATATACATACATATACATACATTTACATACATATACATACATATACATACATATACATACATATACATACATATACATACATATGCATATATATATATACATATACATTTACATATACACTTACTTACTTACTTACTTACTTACTTACTTACATACTTACTTACGTACGTATACATACATACTCAGAGACGTACATACGTACTGCGGTACGTACGTGCAGGCACACCTACATACAAACAAACATACATAGTACGTACATCTAGGCGCCAGCCCCCTGGCAATTTTTTAGCAGCATACGTACGTACTAACATACCTGTACGTACTTAACGTACTATAACGTGCTATCGTGCGTACTTACGTACCTCTACGTTCGTTAATACATGTGTGTTAGGCACTAGACTGCTTGACTTTGAGAGTGCTGCGAGGTCGTCCAAGCTTAGCGAGAAGTCTGGAGACAGGCGTTAAAGCTCGCCCGGCCATATTGGCGTTTCATTGACACTCTCAAGAGCTGCATCCCGAGCCGTAGCTCCAGAGGATGCTGACGAGGTGGATATAACCGAACCATCAAACATTGACGAGTCTGCAAATAAGGACATAGCCGCAGTGTACAGTAGATCATTGCTGTGTAACAGTCTGGCTGGGATAGCATCGTCTGTGAGGTGCAAGACGTCATCGGGACCACAAAGAATGGCCTGATAATGCCCGCTGTTGGCAAGCGTTCCCCTGTGCACACAGGCAGCCTCCAGTTTATAAGGTACAGCAACTGTATCAACAGTATGCGGACCGCAGAAAACCGGGAAGCTAACCTGGCTTTGACGTTCGATACGACCACTATGCTTCGAGGCACCAGAGAATCGCCCTAGTTGCACAATGGCAAGCCGTGGAAGTGGCTCACTGAGGCCCTGATTCCCACCTTGGGTGCACCACTCAGTTATAAGTCCCTGCAGGTCTGAACAAGACGAGCTGATGCCGAGGCCAAGGACAGATGCAGAGTCATCATCTGTGACATCTATGCTTGTGGCAGTGAGGATGCGATTTTGCCAACGGATCGTTACATGCTGCTGGATGTCCAGGGTTGACACCAAACACTGAGCAAACTCCGCAACATCGTGCTGCTCGTCCGGTTCAGGCCACCTGTGTAGGAGTGAGGTCCAATCTGTCTGCCGACGGATTGCCCGCTGCCCTTGCCGTTGCCGCCCTGTTGGGACTTGGGCCGAGGCTGGTGTCGCTCTGAGTGGCTCGACTGTTCCGCTGGCCTTTGCGTCTTCCCAAGGTGGGAGCCTGTTCCAGTTCCAGTTCCATCTGGTCTGCTTCTTCATCTCGTCCTGTGGAGTCAGCGGTTTGTCGGGCACCAAGGAAGGGCCCGCGCTGCTGAGTAGAGGTGAGGGCGGGAAGGTCATGGATGGTCGGCTCGCCTGCCAAAGAGCGATCAGGATGGAGAGTTTTGAACATCAGCATACACATGCACGGAACAAGGCAGTGCCGCATGTGAGCGTCCCGCCTGGCAATCTGCTTGCCGCACCAGGTACAGGGATGGGTGGTCGAAAGGCTGCGAACCCTTGCTTCACAGTTCGTGAGCCAGATGCGAGTGTTTGGCCCGAATATGGGATTTGATGTAGCTGGCCTGCACAAGATATTTGTGACACATGGGACAGTGGTGCTCCAATGGGGAGAGCACTTCCGGCGCGCAAAACGGAGTACCACTCACCGCTGGCTTGGAGTTCGTACCACGGGATGCAATCAAAGGCTTTCTGCAGGTCTAGGGAGAGCGTGAGGCCTCCTCTTGCACAGGGCATAGCACCGCCCAATTTTCTACGTCGCAAGTTGAGGCTGGTTGATTTACGATCTTCCCGAACTTGACGACAATGATTAAAGGCACGATCTAGTGCATCAGCCGTTTGTCTCTGTTGTAGATAAGCGTATTGCCGTGTGGTGGCAGCGGCTGCCTCAACATTGCCACGAATTTTTAATGCCAGCTGTTGGGCAAGGACTTTTGCAAAGGCTGGGAGTAAGGAGATGGGTCGTAGGGCATCCAATGTGGTAAGTGGTTTATTGGGTTTAGGGATGAGTGCAACTTGTATTTTGTGCCAATCTACTTCAAGATGAATGGTTCCGAGGGTGAGTCCAGCCCGCAGCTGCTCAAGCATGCATTGTGCAGCAAGCGGTGCCGCAGCTTTCCAAAGTGGCGCCGGCGGCTCGTGGTGCGGTAGGGCCTTGTTGGGTAGTGCACGGAAGGCAGCTGTGAGATCATCGAGGTCAAAGTGCAGAGGCGCTTACATGACCCGAGGCGGTGGCCGCTCAGTGGGCTCTTGATAGACCTGTCTGAGATGCTCTAGCATTTGGACTAGCTCATCATTAGCATGTAAAAGTTGGCCTGCTTTGTCACGGAGTTGCAGTCTTCTGGGCCGACTCTTGGGTGCCAGCCTGTTCAGTGCACGGTGTACTGCAGTGAGGTTGACACCATTAGGTGCAGCCACCTCTTGCAAGATGCATGTGACTTTGCGTTGTTTGGCCTGTCGGCAGGCTTTGCGTAGCAAACGATTGCTTTTGCTCACCTGAATGGCATGCCTCCACTGCTTCATCAACTCACTGAGGGCCTGCTTGAGGCTTTGCACACATTGTGGAAGGCGTCTGGGTGTCCAGCCAATGGCCGCAGAGCTTTGCTATCTTGGCGTAGCTGCCAAAGACGGCGAACCTGTTGGGTAATCGTGGGGGCTTGACAATCTGCAGTTGCAAGGGGGAGCTTAGGGACAAGCCCAGCTTGGGATGACGTGGCAGGAGTCGGAGTGTCAGCCAGGGCCTGTTTCCAGGCCGAGTGCATGGCCTGTTGCAGTTCGTCAGGTGTGCTGACAGTGGTGGGTAGTGCCTGTTGGTAGCGGAGCAGCAAGTCCGGTCGATGTCGGAGGGCGGGCCTATTAGGGCATGGGATTCGTGCCTGTACGGGCAGATGGTACATGCCCGTGGTCGGAACAAAGGGCAGACGGGTACAGGGCCTGGGCTGTTTGGACAGCGGGTCAGGTTGCTGTATTCGCATGATGATGAAGTCTATCTGAGTGGCAGGCTGGCCATTCTGCACAAAAGTGGCGGATGCTGGACCACCTTTGTGCCAGGTGTTTAGCACCGTGAGCTTATGCCGCCGCAGCAGAGTTTGCACTAGGTACGAGTCCGTTTGGGCCGGAGCTTTCTCGGTGCACGGAAGACCTTTGCCTACATGTTGGCTGTCACTGTGTAATAATGAAACATTGAGATCACCGGCGATGCGCAGTAGGTTCCTGGCAGGAACACGCCGGATCCAGCTTTCAATACTCTGCCAAAGAGCCAACCTCTGTTGCACAAGGGCATGCAGAAGATCTTGCGTGGTGCACTGCAGCTTGAGGTCTTGGCGACCAGGGTTGCAGGCATGTTGGTAACATGCTAGAAGGTCAATTGCTGGGCGTCCTGACAGGTTGATGCGTATGTGAAGGAGTCTGCCCGGGGCAATTTCCTTAAGTTGTATGTCTGCTGCTGCACATACATGCGAGCTGATGAGAACGAGCAGGCCTCCAGCCGAGGTGCCGGAGCCAGAGTGCAGAGCATGCCACTTTCTGCTGCCTGTGCAGGCAGTGTGTTCGCTTGCTTGCGACCAGTGGGTTTCACTGCAGCGCAAAATGGTAGGCAGCACATCTACGGGTGCTTCTGCAAGCCAGGTGGTTAGTTCGGCATGTCGGGCCCGGTGAAGGCCGCCACAGTTCCACGACAGCAGGCGAAGATTGCCAGGCTGAGCCTGTGCGGTGGGCCGATCGGTTGATGACGGCTTGGCTGGCAGGAGTTCGCCTCTGCGCACGAATAGCATCCAGCTGCTGTGCTGTGAATTGTCGTCCACGATATTCGGTGACTCCGAACCTTGAGGCTCTCTTAGGGCTCGCTTGTAAGCACGTTTTACGGTTGGTTTGAGTCCCGAGCCTAGGTATGCAGGTAACGGGCCGTATTGGTTCGCTTCAGTGATGGCAGCGGGTCGTGGCCGAGCTTCTGAAGCTACAGAGAGTTGCAGGCCTGCAGAGCTCTCAACCCTCACTCCGGACGGTGCTGCTGAGGCAATGCTGAGAACTGCTTGGCAGCACAAGAAGCAGTGGCCTGTGCAAAAAGCATCTGAGCTGTCGTGGTCCCCCGCACTTGGGACCGGGCAAGCTGAGATCTGGGTCGCTGAGCCTGTGTTCAGTGGCTGGGCAAGGGGCACATGAGGCTTTAGAATGTAGGCCTTGGCAGTCATGACAACGGTGATATCCTGCAAGAAACACTCTACACACCAAGTTAATAAATGAGTGATGATATCACATGAGTGCGATTAACAAGCTGAAGCAGGGCAAGCTCTCCTGTGGAAACCAGCCGACCCGAAGGTCCAAGCACTGGTTTCCCACACCGGCCAGGTTTGAGTTGTCGTACACTGTGCCAGCGGTGAAGTCTGGAGCGCCTGCGTTGCATAATGGGTATGTAGAGGAGATTACGGGCACGGGACGGGGTGCCCCTGTGCTGCAAAGGAGTAGCTGTTGCTGCTCCGGGCATGTCACTGGTGTCTTGCACTGCGTCCAGCAGCCTCATAGTCTTCACGATCCATGGGAACAAGTCGCTCCCATGCTTGCAGCCAGTCTTCTTGAAGAATGCGGAGGGCCTCTTGGCAGATGTCTCGCCTTGGTGCACCTCGTAGTTTTCGAGTAAGGTGTCCCACGTGCGAAGCTGCACTGTTGCTGCTTAATGTCTGGATGTTTCGCTCGATATTGACGAATGTAGAGTGACCCAAGAAGCTGCAGAAGGGCATCGTCAGCTCCAGCAGCCAGGCGACGAAGGTGGGAGTTGTCGCTGAGGCTGCTAGCAGTTGTCGCTTCGGTGTTGACCGATGGCTGCTGTGATGTGGCCATCACTCCATTGCTCCATTCGCTTAGCTGAGAGGGTATCTGTGCCATTTTGTCCAGCGCTTGCAGGTCCGGGGCCTGGCAAAGTTTCTCATGCAGTTCTGCTCTCCGTAGGGTACGGAGCTGTATCTTGGCATCATCGAGCAGGCCTTGCCTGGCATCCAGAACTTCTTTCGATTCCGCAAAGTCAGAGAGGCCATCATTGCTGCTGTCTGCATCCTCAATAGGATCATCTTCCGGCACGGAGGTGCTGGCACGTGCCCTCTTAGACATGGCGCGGCTTCAGGCATGTAGGCAGGCAGGGGTGGCTGCTTCTGTGTATAATTGACTGATTCGTGAGTGCAGGATATGCATGTGAGTGTCATGACCATGGCAAGCCCTTGCATCATCGTGGATTGCATCCACGGGACTGCAGCTACACGCAGCGGAAAAAAGGGCCCCTTCGGTTGCGACCAGATTTGAGCCGGGAGCTTATGCATACATACATACATACATACATACGCAGCGCCAACTTGGCTTGTTTTCCGGAGGGTTTAGGCTTTCGGGTTTTAGGACTCCGCGGTGGTAGAGGTATTTAGGAGGTTTAGGGGTTCCGGGTTCAGTGTTTTTAGGGGTCAGGTTCAAGGGTTCGGGCATTTGCCAGTCGAGAACGGTTTTGGGGGTTTGGGGTTTCGGTCAGCCCTTATAGCACCAGAAGTAAGACGAAGAAAGACGTGACGAGACTACACACCGTGCCAATGTACGACATACATGCGTGTTGACGTACTGACGTACGTACGCACCCGCCCCACCCCCCTGCCCCCGCGATTTTTGTCTCATACTGTAGCGTACGCATGTACCTGCGTGCTGTAACGTACGAACGTAACGTACAAACGTACGTACGTACCCAAGGTATGCACCTACGTACGTAAACCCCTCTTGTCCGAGGCCAGTGGCTTATGGCTATGGTGCGCCACCTGTCCGGGGCTATGGAGCCCAGCACCGGTGGTGAACACTTACAAAGAAGATGCCACCAAGGCTTACGGAGTCCCTCCTGCATATGGGTCGTGGCCTCAGTGAATTCGAGCCGCCTGACGGAGACCGTGAGTGTGCTCTACAGGTATGGTGGGCCCCCAGGCTACGAGGATCTGGGAAACGGTGTAAACTTGCAATTGCCCACAGTTGTCTGAGTGGCAGGATAGAGCGCCCGAGAGGGCAAGACGGGAAGACCGTCGTAGAGACGAGGCCGCCCAGAATCGTCGCAAAGAGAAGCGGCACTGCTTAAGAACTGAAACCTGCAGGGTTTCTTGCGTTCGTTTGGCCACTACCAGGATGACAGGAGGAAGAAAGACGAGGACTCCCGTCGTGTAGCGACACTGGCAGAACTGTCGTGCAATGTGCCGTTTGCCGAGTCGTTGGGGCTTTGCTCTCTTACGCGAACATAGGATGGGAAAGAGCGGCAGCGTTCCCACCTCAAGAGATCTTCTGGTTTTGGCCGGCTGCATGCTGATGGATAATCGGAGTTTTTCTGGTTCCGACATTTCCAATCCAGGCAATGCCGAAGAAGGACGGAAGTCTGCAGCCAAAAGAAAAGAGGAGGTCGGACTACCCGTCGACTTCCCGTCGAGTGTTTCGGCAGTTCTGGCTGGAATGTGAGAATGAGGATGTTGCGCGGAAGAAAGAGCTTGAGCAGAAGCAGAAGGAGGAGGCTTCGGCAAGAGAGCTTCTCGAGCCCTGCACCGGCGATTCGCGTTCGGAGGCAGCCAAGCAGAAAAAGGATTTAGAGGAAAAGAGACGGCAGGAGCAAAGGTCGACTCTCGCCATAAGAAGGCCCATGTGCAGAGGGGCCCATCGACCCGCTGCAGAAGCTTTTTCGCTAAGCCTTGCACTGGCACTGCCAGGATCATCCAAAAGGTCAGGCTAGCTTCACCTGAGACTTTCGAAGAGGTTCAAAAAGAGCTTCAGGCTCTGCTGCTCGGATCAGTTGTGTCTCCGAGTGTATCGGCGACTGTTTTTCAGCATGGGCAAGACTTGAGGAGATTCTCAGAGTCGAGCTGGAGAACACTGGCAGCCAAAAAGAGCGCATCAAAGAGGCGGGTCGACGAGCCTTTCTGCTTCACGGCTCCAGTAGGCATGGAGCACGAATGCCAGTGTCATGATGCGTTCGAAGGAAAGTGAGAAGGGGCTGGAACAAGCAATGAAAAGACTTGATAGCATCAGAGAGCAGCGGCAGAAGGAGTTAGCCACAGCCTCGGCGTCTCTTTCCGCAGGTTGCCCCATGCCAACGGCTCTCTTTCCATGAGGATAAAAAGGAGGCGGAGGACAAGAAGCGACAGGAGCAGCAAGCCAAAACAGATGAGCTCCTCAAGGACCGCCCCTTCGTGACGTCGGAGAAGCCAAAGTCAAAATGCGGTTAACACAGGAGCTGAGCGAGCTGGTGGAAGCAGCTGAGATAGGTGTGGCCCGACTGAAGGACGGCTGCAGCTCGGAACACAACAGCAGCTGGGTAGTTCTTTGATGCTGAGGTTCGGCTCCCTGACTTAGTGTTCCAGCCACTTGAGCTGATGGCCCTTGTTGGGTGAGAGAAGGTCTATACAGCACAAATCGACAACAGGGGCGTGCGTGCGTGCATGCTTATGCATTCAGGCCTGTTGTGGAAGGGCATGCCACTGTGGGTCTAGGAGGGGGCTGTCGACCGTGACGTGTGTGGTACGGACTTTGGCCCCGGGGCGTGTTCCTCGCATCTCGTTCTTCTCCATGAGGTTTAGTTTGTTGTTTTTTCCCGAGCCTGCATGTCCATGCCGGCTTCGACGCAGGGGATCTTCCGGGATGACTGGTGCCGACAAAGAAGGTCACTGACCGGCGGAATGCGAGCCTGTCCGTCTCTGGTGCGACCGATGCTTTAGAACAAGCGATCCGCCTTCCGATGACCACAGCGGAGATGAAGCACACACGGCAACGCAGTTTCTAAATGACCCAGCGACAGTCTTGACGAATGCGGATAGTGGAACTATGAGGAGGGATCTGATTGTTGTATTGGCACAAATTGGCGGAATCCCCAACAATAACAACACCGATCTTCCCCATGGTGGCCCCTTCCCGTTTTCTTGTTGAACTCCAGAATGTTGGAGCTTGGCCGAGCTGGATCGCGAGGAGTTGGCTGCGCCGCTATCCGAGAAGATCAAAGACAGCGTTTGCCCGCCCAAATTGCAGCATGTGTATTGACCGCACGTGTTTTCTTTCTGCGTAGCACCATGTTAATGCACGTGTGCAACAGTCGTGCCCTCACGAATTACATAGGCCAACCTGAGTGCTGTTCTATGAACGCCGACACCACCAAAAAGAGTCCAGGTCCCAGTCAAGAGCAGATATCAGGACCTGGCGTGCTTCGCTTCAGAAGGAGCAGTCTCGAGGATCCCGAGTGGTGTTGTGTTTGAAGTTCATAGGCTTAATCTAACGGAATCTAACGCCTTCCGAAATCTTGTCCGGCCTTCACTTTCGCGGAAGACCTGAGGGATTCATGGGCACCCTTCCAACCAACACGCAGACTTTCGTCCTGCTCTAAACGAATCGAAAACGGAGCAAAGCAAATGCAACCTTTGGAAACACAAAGCCTCCGGCTTCCGCTCGAGTTCGCTTGAGATGGAGAGCTTTGCTATGCTTTGCTCGGTTTTGACTCCAGAAATCTTGTGCAAGCAACGCTCAAACGTCGATCCTTAGCCTTACCTGGCAACGCCGACTATTCTCTCGTGTTGAGTAGCAGCTCACTTTTCTGGAATCTTTTCATACTTGCTCATGCAGTGTTGCATGTCGCACAGTCTTTCACAGATGCCTGTCTCACGGTTTACATGTAACCCAAGTATACCACAAGCACCATGTGCGCTGGAATGCCAGGTGAAGGAGGTCGAGGCATGCGCGCTGGCCGTAGAAGAGGCCCGTGCCAAGGCTTTTGAGAGTCGAAAACAGGTCGGGGTTTCCCGCACCTGCGTGACCTCGCACCCAACTGCACCCATTGCTCAAGAAAGAATCCGGACTTGGAGTGAACCGCTAATATTAGCGGTTTGGAGGCGTTGAAGCTTCAAAGCTGAAGAATGCTGTTGTTTTTCGCGTAAACTCTCTCGATGTTTGCTGCCAGGCTGGCAGCGATGCCAAGACTGCCACGAAGGTCACATGGCGGTGAGCACGCACCCCAAGGGCTAGCCCGGCATCTGCCACGCTGAGGCTTGTACTGACTTCATCATGGTGAACGGCAATGACATCAAGGATGATCTGTGGACGGCATCGATTCGTCATGCCAGCGCTGGGAAGGACTCCGCACCAATCCCGGCCATTCCTGGCGTTCAGGTGACTGGTGAGACAAAGCAGGCAGTGCCTGAGTCATGCAGTGCACATATGAAGAGATTGAGTAGTAAACACATCGAGCTTGCAACTGGCAGCAGGCCCTGGGAAAGCTTTTGCAGAGAATCAACGAGCAGTGGGCCTAGATGTAGCTTCGACTCCTCAAGCGATTGTTTGCCGGTTTAGTAAAGCTCAACCTCAGGTGCGGCAAAACTGCCGAGTCTTTGATACAAGCTGCAAGAGGTTCGACGGCAGCTGTCACGTTTGAGTGCTGGCGTCCTTGGTGCAACGTGGAGGTGCAAAAGAGCAGGCCGTCCGGCGAGCTTTTGCCAGGCAGAAAACGAAGGAGATGGAGGCCACATTAATGCATGTTGGGGCAGCCCTTCATTCGCACGTTCTGTCGACTGCTAGTAATACGCTGTGGTTTTCGTTTCGGAGAACGGAATCGGCTTTGAGCTGGTCATGCTGGTCTCGAGTTTGCGAGAGCTGATGGAACGCTCATGCTTCGCGCCAGGCCATGTTCGCAAAGTACGACAGGGACAAGGATAATGCGCTGAGTCAGGCTGAGGCTGGTGTAGAGTCCTCCTTTCGCATGGTACAACTCCGGATGATTCAAAAAATGTGCCGTAATGGAGGTGGCTGCGTATGCCAAGAAAGAGATGTCAATCAATGTGGACAAGGCCTACTAAGGTAATTGTGAACTTGCCACATGTGGCTCCTCTTAAGGCTCTTCTGGACAAAGTTTGGAGATGCACCGTGGATGCTGACGAGAAGGGCGTAAGTTTCGAAAAGTTCGGCTCTCAAAGCCTACACGGCGGCGGACTTGTGTCGGAGTTCTTGCCGGTGGCTGAGGATGTATTTGCTGAATGCATCCATCGGCATCGTCCGGGAGATGCAACGGAATGAGCCACTTGAC